TATATATATTATATATATATATATATATATATATATATATATATATATATATATATATATATATATATATATATATATATATATATATATATATTTCAAAAACTCATTAATAATTCATGAAGCAATTATCCAATCTTGAGTAAGAAATTAGTCATGTGCATACGTCTTAAGCTTTATACCAGCTAAAGAACACTTTAACAAAAGACCATTGTTATGCAAACTATATAAAGGTTTTTATATAAAGATTTTTATATAAAGATTTTTATATAAAGATTTTTATATAAAGATTTGACTTATTATGCATACGTTTTTGAAGTCATTTAAAAAACTCGCGGGCTTTAAACCTAATAAAACACTCCCGCTCGTTTTTTAAATAGTACATACAGCATATATAATATACTGTATATATATATATATATATATATATATATATATATATATATATATATATATATATATATATATATATATATATATATATATATATATATATGTATATATATATAGTACAATCTGCAGACATGCATGTTTCGGCGTTCAACGCCTCGTCAGTGCAGCTTGGTACACGTCTAGATACGTGAGACACTCGTATTTATACCCCATGAACTTGCTCTCACCAAGGCATGTGGTACAACACGGTGAATCAACGCATCCAGACATGCGCAGAGCGTAATGGGGCCAGAGTGCTCAAACGACCACAAGGGAAGTGAGCTTTGCATTATCGCTAATAGACACCATTAACAACTCCGCAGAGTGCTCAACAACACCGAAGTGAAGGAGCGTATATATATATATATATATATATATATATATATATATATATATATATATATATATATATATATATATATATATATATATATATATATATATATATATATATATATATATATATATATATATATATATATATATATATATATATATATATATATATATATATATATATATATATATATATATATATATATATATATATATATATATATATATATATATAAAATTCATGAATAATTCATGAACTAATTAGCCAATGAATTTCTTAAAATCTCGTCACATGATGACCCTTATATACCGTGATATAGATCGGTGTGTGCTGATTTAAAATTCATATATAGACTACATGTACCTTTATGATAAAGGTACATGTACCTTTATAAAGCATTCTTTAACAAAATGTTTATTAATCTGTATTATAAAAACTCAAATATTCGAGAAATCAATAAATACTTTATTTTCCAAAGTTAAAGGTTATGTTACACGGGATTAACAACTCTTTCATTTTGATTACACACCACTTTAAACTCTTTAAACCCAAGAAACTTGCTTAATTTAACCAAAATGCTAAAGACGCTTCATTCATGATCTCCGCCAACGATGTAGCCTAGTTAATGTCTCGATTGGGCCAATATCATCAGTTTCATGACCTCAGCATCGTCGATCTTCACTTCTTTAACCTTTCTAGCAGCTCTCCAGGAATCAAAAATCTTCAAAGCCCGGCACTTTGTCGCGTATCTTGTACTGGGCGGCATCGTTGAGTGTGATATCCGCCAAAATTCATATATTCAATTATGCCATTGGAAATGCATTTATGAAGTTCAGTTATGCTATTATGATATTCGATATTATGTTATTCGAATTTCATTCGGCGTGAAACAGTCATTATTGAAATTTCATTCGGCGTGAAACAGTCATTATTGAAATAGTCATTCGGCATGGCACTCAGAAACCAAAACTCGACTTCCAATTTAGCGGGAAAAGCACGCGGGGAGTTGTAATTTCAACATGGGCGAAGGCGAAGGCAATTTAAGTCAACAGCGTGCTGTTTCTTTGTTGCAAGAAGCGACAGGATTGATCAGAAAATATCCTGGATCATCAAATGATGCTTCTTCAGCACAAGTTGCGAGTCCAAATGTAATTTCTCAAAGCGAATCGCATGCTACTACGTACATCATCTGGCAGCACTGCCGTCAAATATACATCAAATCCAGAAAGAGTGTTGGGGAATTTTAGAAATCTTTTTGCGCCGTATGGGCATACTGGTCGCCGATGTCTAAGTTCCTCAACACAGTTGTTTCCAATACGTCTACAACACTTATATTTCTGTCTTGTTGACTTAAATTGCCTTCGCCTTCGGTCATGGTGAAATTACAATTTCCCGCTAAACCGGAAGTCGAGTTTTGGTTTCTGAGTGCCATGCCGAACCGGAAGTCGAATTTTGGTTTCTGAGTGCCATGCCGAACGACTGTTTCACGCCGAATGAAATTTCAATAATGACTGTTTCACGCCGAATGAAATTTCAATAATGACTGTTTCACGCCGAATGAAATTCGAATATCATAATATCGAATATCATAATAGCATAACTGAACTGATAAATGCAATTTCCAATGGCATAATTGAATATATGAATTTTGGCGGATATCACACCTGGTGGCATCGCTCTTTCGAGCAACGTTTGCTCCTCTTCAGCACTTCGAGCGCTTCGAAACCGACTCATTAACGACACAAGTCAAATGTTCAAATTTCCATTTGAAAACTTCGTTTCAAACGACTTGTATGAATTGATAATTAATCCCGTCATTAATTTGCTTGCTGATCAATGAAGGAATATATATATATATATATATATATATATATATATATATATATATATATATATATATATATATATATATATATATATATATATATATATATATGTTGTATTAAATTTCAATAGTATGTATAAATACTATCTATAATTCAAATTTTGTTTGATATTTATATATCATGTTATTTACAAAATGTGCTGTAGTTTTGAAGCTTTGCACACAATATAATCAGTGCGAGCACAATGGCTCCGTTTCAGTTTGAGTATATAAAAATCGAGTATTTTCATAACGTTCGCGGCTTTAAGGCTTTCACGGTATATAAATATATTACGCCTGGTAATTGATAAATAATCACTAATCATTGCGAGCACAACGGCTCCAAAATAACAACAAATAACATGCAAAATATAAGATAAGCTAAAAACAGTAAAGCTTTACCTACCTGGATTTATTTTTCTAATGCGCTCAATACAATAGTATGTAAATTTTCAGCGAATAATCAATATTTCTTTGCGTTTCCTCGACGAAAACCCGGCATGAAAATGCTCGTCGGAAAAACTCGGTATTTGTCGTATTTTTACGAATCTGCCACGTGACTGGTACGCTCACCGCTCACCGCTCACCGACCGCGACACGAAATTTAGAGCAAAATGAAAGTTGCATGCCATATATGGCATGCAACAAAAACTACATCATAACTTACAAGTTTGAGTGACGAGCATGTACGACGACCTCCGAAAGGTCTCCGAAGTTTTTACTCTTATGCAATCGAATGAGATCATAAATTGATTATCGCGTATCATGTTTATTATGACTATTATAAAATAGATCGAAATAAACAAAGCAAAATCACAGTTCACGAAACAGATATCCTTAATTCTCATTTCACGGAGCATTTTCATCGATAATCACGCCTCACGGCTGTAGAAAAATCACATTTCATGTGCGACACTAAAATGAAGCATTTCACACGAACAAATATTGACCATTCACGGCTCACGAAAATACCCTTTCCCATGCACCCTCTCTCAACATTCCATCTTATATAAAACGTCAGAACAGTCAAGGGTGGTGCTAAACGGGTGGGTGGTGGATGGGTTGGGTGTTAGAACACCCCCAGTCGTCAGGTAGTCGGAAAATGATCTAACCCCAGTTGGACAGGAAGGAAAGAAACTAAAATATTTGAGTGACACTGATTAAAAACTATTATTTATTACAAATTTCACCATTAAAACTTTGCTTTGAGCACAAGCAGCCCAATCTCGCAAGGGTCAGTATAGTAATGTATATTATTGTAAAAACATGTCAAAATATAAATTTCAAAATGAAATTGACTTGCCTATTTGATAGTGTGTATTCTCCTTTTATTCCTCTTTTGTTGGACTAATATTTTCCGAGCCACTTTGGAAAATATTAGTCCAACTAAAGGGGAATAAAAGGAGAATACACACTATCAAGTGGGCAAATCAATTTCAGTTTAAAATTTATATTTTATGATATTATATTTTTACTATAATATACATTATTATACTGACCCTTGCGAGATTGCGACGCCTGTGTTCTCAGAATGTAAAATGTGTTCTCAGAAAGCAGGAAATACTATTTCAGAGACCCAAATTTTAAACATTTCCTGGGAGGGCATGCCCACATACCCCCTAGCTACCTCGTGCCTGCGGTACTCGGCTCACACCTTCGGCGATCGCATACTATCCTGGGGGGAGGGCAAAGAAAAAATGGGCCTTTTGGCAGTTTTGCCCCACCACTGAAAATTCCTTAAAGAATGCACTGGTCGACTCTCGACTTTTACTCTCGATTTTTACTCTCGACTTTTACTCTCGACCCTCGACTTTTACTGATACACTCAACTAGATCTAACAAATAATTTGAAAATGACATGTCCATAGTATGTATTGATTATTGTGGTTGACAACTCACGTTGACAGCTCACAACTTGATATTTGTATAGGTTCTCTATCATGGCTGGTATTAATGAAGGCGTGGAATATCTAAAGTCTGTTCCAAGCGTTCTGAAAATCTTGGAAATTGTAAGAAAGTATAGAACACGAATAAATTTAATATTTAGAATATTTAGGGCTGTTCTGTTGGGCGGATATATATTAATATATATAGTCCTCAGAATGACCACATTTCCTCTCAAGTATACATGCGATCATGCATGGGGGCCTGGTCGTTTCGTCCCCTTCACGTTTCGTCCCCTTCACGTTTCGTCCCCACACTAGACTCTGTTTTATCTATAACCTATATACTTCCGTAATACAATATATCTTAGTACTTTTTGAGATTGTATCTCAGTGGATTGTATGCCTGGATAATACAGATTTTTGGATTTAAAATAACTTAAATATTTGGCTTTTATTGCCTTTATTTGATTTCACAATATTAATATTGCTGTTGTCCGTGAGTATTATAGTGACACTTTACTTTATTTTAATTGGAACTGAGTCTGAAGAAAACTAGACCAATGACTGCCATTAGTGACATTAGTGAGCTTAAGATCGTAATGTTTTTTGTCAACACGGACGTCAGTTCGTCGAGGGGGGACTGGGTTATAATCTTCAACATATAGGTTTTTTAATATTTTGATACAAATTGCCTCTTGCAGTCTTGGACATTTTGAAAATTATAGTGATGAGAATCAAGCAGTTTATTTCATCTGGCATGATGACAAAATTATGAGTGATCAAAGTTGAAACAAATACAAATATATCTTAAGTACTATTTTAAAACCGACGAGTAGGAGTGTTTTATTAGGTTTAAAGCACGAGCGCGCAGCGCGAGCGGCGTTAGATCTATAGTAATAAAACACGACCCGCGAGTTTATTAAATGACTTCAAACACGACTACAAATTCAATAGATATACTGCCTTATTATAATTAGTATTCTTTATATAAAGAATACTAATAAGGACACGACTACCGCAATAGATACTGCCTTATTAGTATTCTTTATATAAATGCTAATTAGAAGTGTTTTATCAGATTTAAGCCACTGCACGTGACATATTATGGTTGACATGATTTGCCAATAAGCTTATGCGCGAGTGGCTTTAGACCTATAGTAATAAAACACGACCTGCGAGTTTATTAAACGACTTCAAACACGACTACAAATTCAATAGATATACTACCGCCTTATTAGGATTCTGATACTGCCTAAAAAATTCAAATAGATATACTGCCTTATTAGGATTCTTTATATAAAGAATACTAATAAGGACACGACTACCGCAATAGATACTGCCTGATTAGTATTCTTTATATAAAGAATGCTAATTAGAAGTGTTTTATCAGTTAAGCCACTGCACGTGACATATTATGATTGACATGATTTGCCAATAAGCTTATGAATTATTAATGAGTGTTTGAAGTATATATAGTTCATGAGAAACTAAGATAATAAATATAGTTTATAGATAAAATGGTATCTAGTGTGTGGACGAAACGACCTGGGACGAAATGGCAAGGGGATGAAACGACCATAAAGGTGCCGAAACACGAAGGGTTTTGGTGCAGAGACATGCTGCAGCGACAAGTATCAGCGACAAAATCACACGCAATACACACAAGGGGAACATGTAGCAGGGCGTTGTAGCAGAAGCATGTGCCAGGGAGTCAGGGACAAAATTATGTCAGAAAACACGAGGGATCAATTTGCAGGGACATGTTGCAGCGACAAGTGCCAACGACAAAATCACACGCAATACGCAAAAGGGGAACATGTAGCAGGGCGTTGTAGTAGAGGCATGTGCCAGGGACAAAATTATGTCAGAAAACACGAGGGATCAATTTACAGGGACATGTTGCAGCGACAAGTGCCAACGACAAAATCACACGCAATACACACAACGGGAACATGTAGCAGGGTGTTGTAGCGGAGGCATGTGCCAGGGATAAAATCACAATGTATACACACACAAGGAAATGTTGCGGGGATATATTCCTGGTTTATGTTGCAGCGACACATCTCATCGTGTCCGCTGATAGTATTATAATCGTGCAACATCAATTCGGTGCAAATTTTGTCCCGGCGTCATGTTGCAAGTAGTTCAACTTGTTGAACTTTGTGCGACTTGTTGCGGGAACGAAACGTTGCAGCGATGCCATGACCTTTCGTGTGCATGGTGCTGCAAGATGTCCCCTAAGGGAAGTAAGAATATAGCCAATAAGAGACAACTACAAGAATTTTAATTTGCATATGGTAAAAACAAAGATGGCGGCTACCGTTTACAAATGTCGTACTTCTTTTTCCTGGAATGATTGGAATCAAAAGAAAAAATTGCTATTATTTTAATGCTGTTAATGGATGACGAAGATTCTGTCATGTTGAAATGGAGAATTTGGTGTCGTCAGTGGTTGCTACGGCGTGACGAACGAGGAGCATACCACACAATTTTCAGGGAGTTGGCAATTGAAGATTCGCCTGGTTTCGCTGAGTATATGAGAATGCCATACGCAAAGTTTGTCGAGCTTGCAGAAAAAAATTTGCCCTTTATAGTTAAGCAAGAAACATGTATGAGAAAGTCTATTGACCCAAGCGAAAGGTTGGCCCTTGCAATTAGGTATCTTGCCACAGGGGAAACTTTCCAATCACTCTCCTTCCAATTTCGGATCGGAACGACGACAATATCTCAGATTGTGATGGAAGTATGTGTCGCTATTTACCGTGTGTTTGGGAATGAGTATATTTGAAAACACCAAACACCGCTGGAAAATGGAACGAAATTGCAGAGTTATTTTACTCCAGGTGGAATATCCCCAATAACATAGGAGCCATTGACGAGAAAAGGATTGTCATGCAAAAGCCTGCAGGCGCTGGTTCCCCGTTCCACGACTACAAAGGAAATGAGAGCATCATTGCCTTGGTTATGGCTGGCCCAGAGTACGAGTGTCTCTACGTTGATGTGGGAACTAATGGCCGAAACCCCGATAGTCATGCTTGGGGCCGTTTCTCTCTAAAACAAGCTCTACACAACGCAGATAATCCGTTGAATTTACTTCAACTACGCCCATTACCGGGAAGTACAAAACCAATTCCTTTTGTTCTCACAGCAGACGAAGCCTTCCCATTGTCGTTAATAGTTAAGCTTTAGCAATACCTGTAAAATATGGTCATGCTAATAAAGCGATTATTGAATCATAGTTAGCTATCCTTTCCTCGACTGTAAGATCCCTTCTTGGGTAGGACTTTAAGCATGTGTTTAAGAAGTAGACTATAAGAAGACACTATTTACAGGATGGAAAGTTTAACTAAAGAATACCAGCATTCCCGGCTTCAAGTTGTTTAAGTCTTTCCTCAAAACACGAAAAAATAAATTTCGATAATTTCAGGATGGTGTCACTAGCAGTTGACTTCATTATGTCAACTGATAAAGTTGGTTCGTCTACGTTTGTCTCAGTAGTAGTGAGATCGTTTTTTAGACTGTTTATAAAGTTTACTCGAATGTCACCGTAAGCCTCGCAAGTGAGGAGGAGGTGAGATTCATTTTCGACTTCTCCCGAGTGACAAAGGTTACACAGTCGTTCTTCTCGGGCTATATTATGGTATCTACCAGTTTCAATCTGAAGGCTATGGTTATTTAATCTGAATCGTGTTGAAGTTTTTCTTTTGTTTGAGTCTTTTATTTATAGATAAGTACTTTTCTAGTTCGTAATCTATCTTGATGGTCGAATAAAAGATTAGTTTCGAGGAATTTTCAAGTTTGTGTTTCCAAAATGTGAGGTAATTTTCTTTAAGACATTTGGTAATAGGTTGAATAAGTTCAGTTGTGATTGATTCCAAGTCAGTGATTTCTGTGTTGAGGTTAAATGCTTTCAAAATATCCATTGCTTTTCCATAACATATCCATTGCTTTTAGTAAACAAATCTTTTGAGATTAGAAAAGCTTGTTTGCCAATGGCTGTTTCCGATAAAGAGTTCAAATGAGTGATGTACTTGAAAAGTCTTTTGAAGATATTAATAATTAGAGGGAATTTTCCGAGTTCACCTCTTGAGGCGATATTGCTAGCTTTTTTTACCCACACCTAGATATAATTTGCAGAATCTAAGGTGAACTTTTTCAATAGGTAACTTGTCCCAATTGTTAAAATTATTTTTTACATATGCACCCCATACTTCAGAGTTGTAAAGAAGGATGGGGCTTATAATTCGATCGAAAATTTTAATAGCAGATTTTGGGTTAAGTTGGTGTATATTGAGTCTTCTCATACTGTATAATGCGTGGAGGGCTTTTTCACTCAACTGTTTAAGAGCTTGGGTGAAATTACCATTGTTGTTCATCTTAATGCCTAAATAACAGTATTCTTTTCCAACAGTAATATCTTTCTTTCCGAGATTAAAAATTGGTTTTGCTTTTTTAGAATTTGTTTTCTCAAACATCATAACTTGTGTTTTCTTTAAATTCACCTCCATAAGCCATTTATTGCTCCAGCTATGGAGGTCATCCAGACATTTCCAGGGCCTTTTTTAAGGATTTTCCCGTGGGGGGGCATTTTTTGAAAAGGGACTTTTCTGTGAGATAATATATTAGAGGGGGATAGCAATGGCTGAAGGCTACGTGTGTGGCCAATATACCACGCATGAATCGCGGGTGGTCTGGGGGAGTACTCCCCCAGAAAATTTTTGAAATTTGAATCCCAGAAATGTCATTTCCTGCATTCTGAGCATCCAAATTTGGTCCAAAATTTATGCTAACTATACTGTCTTGTATTTAAAATAAATAAAGGAAAAAACGCACAAAAACTAAAAACAAAATAAACCATCATTTATCGTTACTTATTAGAGGACTTAGAGGAGGATGGCAATGGTCAGGTGTGTGGGGGTGTACTCTCCTAGAAAATTTTTGAAATTTGAAGCACGGAAATGCCATTTCCTGCATTCTGAGCATCCAAATTTGCTCTAAAATTTATGCTAACTATACTTGTATTTGAAATAAAAGATGGAAAATATGCACAAAAAGTAATATTAAGAAAAATAAAAGAATATTAACTGTAATTTATCATTACTTATTAGAGGGATAATCCCCAGAAAATTTTTGAAATTTGAAACCTGGAAATGCTATTTCCTGCATTCTGAGCATCCAAAAAATAAAAAATTATTAACAATAATTTATCATTACTTAGTGGTAGAAAAAAGTAACAATTTAAATCGATTTTGTTAAACAAGGACAAAGGATAAAGCCTAAAACTTACTTGCCGTTTATGTATTTGTTAATCTTCGCTGGTTTGTTTCTATAATTTTAGGGAAAAGGGACTTTTCCTGGGGGGGCAAAATGTGATTTCGTGGGGGGGCACAAGGGGGGACTGGGGGGGCATTTGCCCCCCCAGCTTGTATGTTAAAAAAGGCCCTGGACATTTCTGGAGACCGAACTTTGATCTAGATAGTATGATTAGATCATCAGCATATAAAAGACAGCTCAGTTTTGTTCCATTTGGAAGTATAAACGGATCAGAGCTTGTGTTGTCAAACAAAGTAGCTAACTCGTTTATATAAATGTTGAAAAGAAGATATCGACATCCCTGTCGTACACCTTTGGAGTAGTTGAAAAAATCAGTTCTTGTTTTGCTTTGTTTAACAGCGCATTTTGAATTTGAGTAAAGACTTTTAATAAGATTATAAAATTGACCATCAATTTTGTTTTCTGGTAATTTAAAAAATAGACCTTCGTGCCAAACCGAGTCAAAAGCTTTTTTGAAATCTACGAAACATGCATAGATTTTGTCATTTTTGTTCTGTTTAATGTGTTTGTCAATTAATGTTTTCAAAGTAAAAATATGGTCAGCAGTTCTATGACTTGATTGAAACCCAATTTGCGATGGATGTATTAAGACTAAATTTACTTAATCGTTCATTTAGAACAATACAGAGGAACTTGCTCAGACAGCTTGTCACGCAAATCCCTCTGTAGTTATTGGGGTTACTTTTTTCACCAGACTTAAAAATTGGCGTGATCAGTCCTTCACACCATTGGTCTGGAAATTTTCCACTTTCTAGAATTAAGTTAAAGAGTTTTTGGTATCCTTTGAGCAGTATTTTCGCACTGGATTTAAGCATTTCATTTCTTATCTTACAGAATAAGCGGATTTGTTGTTTTTTAATTTCCTTGCAGCATTAATGATTTCGTTTTCTGAGATTGCTTCATCAAGAAATTTTTTTGCAATCTCCTCTTCTAGTTTTTCTAATTGATTTAGTGTGTGTTGTTGTTCAGTGCCTAGCATCGTATGTTTCGCAAGCATAGATTCAAAATGAGTGAGCCAGCTGTTAGTAGTAACATCAGACTCACACGTAGAAAGGTCTTCAAGCTCATCACTCATATTCTTTAGTAATTTCCAGAAGGTGTTTGGTTCATTTTCAGAAATTGTTTCTAGTTCTTCTAATTTCTTTTCATGAAAGATTACTTTCTTACGATTTAGCGTGTTTTTGTAAATCGTAAGGGCAATATGGTATGGCAATAACTATCGTATTTCAAGAGGGCGACGTATATCGGAGAACATACTAGGAATTCTTGGAAATAGATGGCGTTGTTTTAGAGCCCCGTTTTTGTTATGCCATGAAAAGGTACAACAAATAACCATGGCTATACTAACACACCACAACTGGCTACGAAGTGACAATGCAAGCCGTAATATCTACTGCTCTCTGACACTAATTGATAGGGAAGATATGGGAAGAGCTTATTCCGGGGCTTTGGAGGGACGATATCCCTTCGGAGTCTCTCTTACCATTACAACCTGCTGTGATCCACAGCTCCGCCAGTGAAGCTAAAGCAATGCGCCAGGAATTTACAAGGTGGTTCAGTGATGAGGGAGATGTTGCCTGGCAACGTAAAATGTGTGGCATTTAGAACACAGCACTTTGGCAGACATTTCAGGAATGAATTGTTGTGTTTGGAAATTTCCTTTTAATATGTGACAAGGTTTTCCAACAAGGATTTCTAGTGTGTGTATCAAATTATGGCAACATATAACCACATTTGATAGACTTACAGCTAATATGAGCACAGGCTTATTAGATGGTGCGTTTGTATTTGTCAGCCCAGGCTGAGATTTTATCCCGGCCGTTGGAGTATGGAAACTAGTTAAGAGGCAGAATGAAATACTCAATGTTGAATATCTGCAAAGTAGTGGTTACAAACATGGCATTAAACAAACCATATTTATTAAACTTGTATTTTAACGAAGCCATATTTGTTACTTCTCTGTTGCTTTTATACAAATCACGTTCAATATTCAGACAAGAGTTTCACGAACACTATTATTATTATAATAATAATTTGGTATACAACAAATATTGTGATAAGATACATATCAAAATATAACGTTTTTCCCGCTAAGTTACATGCACTCATACTTTAACAATATATAACTTGTATGTGCAAAAAAATGTAATGAATATGGACGACAAATGTTCACAAATAAATAAAATAGATTTGGCAAAAACGTTTCAGTTAACTTTTGTTATCATATTGTCACACTTATCATCAACTCAACAGGTGAGTGAACATACTCAATTGTTCATGTTAGGTCATGATAAACCCTTTGATTCGTTTGACTATTATCAAACGCCAAAGGAGAACATGACCTTAATGGCCGGTCTCCACTGGAAATATTAGGACCTTGGTAATACCGATTGCTGGTGGTCGAGCTAGCACTGGGGGGTCTACCATAGTTATTGTCAGCATAAAGGAAATTTGAATTGAAAGTTGATGGGTGCTGTCTCGGACCATACTGGGATATATTATCAGTGACATTACAACGACCTGGTTCAATGTCATTTTGCTCTTCCATCTCATAGAGGACATTCGAAATACGTTTCTTTGCACGGCGATATAGAGTAGGAGACAATTTGGACAAACTCAAAGCAACATAATTGGTAAAGGCTAATGGCTCCTTTTTGTCAGCCAATGGCATTTGAGAGGCAGATGGAGAAGGCCGGTTTGCATAGCATCCACAGCACGTGCAAACAATTGCAGCTTTTGTCCTCCCTTTTATCTCTTTGCATTAGCCTGGATGATTTTCTGGACTTGATCTCGGAAGGACCTGTTAGCGAGACAACCGTCTCAGCTATGTCATCACATATGGAATGAATGAACTGCAATTGAGCATAAAATTCCCAGTTAATTGGATTTGTAAATATCTTTGGTGCCTGATCCTGACGGTTTCTTAGTTCCTTTTGCAAATTCCTGTTTGAACTTCTCAACTTCTTAACCAAACTTTTCCACTTTCTCTCAATATCTTCAGGAGTGAATGTGTCATTAAGTTCTTTACATGTACAAATGTAAACAAGGTGTTTTAAAGGTCAAATACCGCACCTTACAAACCTCACAACAAAAACGATTGATTATGAAATCACATTTACAAATTTTAATTAAACAAGATGTTTTCAAACACTATTTTAATAGTTTTAAAAAACAATAGAGAATAAATCTTAAATGCGCAGTCATTTCACACGATAAGACGTGTCGTGGCAGCATGACCCTGGGACATGTACCCGCAACATTTCCTTTTGTGTGTACGCATTCCGGTTTCGTACCTACTACAACACCCTGCTACATGTTTCCTTAGTGTGTATTGCATATGATTTTGTCGTTGGCACTTGTCGCTGCAACATGTCCCTGCAAAATGATCCCTCGTGTTTTCTGACATAATTTTATCCATGGCACATGACTCTGCTACAACACCCTGCTACATGTTTCCTTAGTGTGTACTGCATATGATTTTGTCGTTGGCACTTGTCGCTGCAACATGTCTCTGTAAATTGATCCCTCGTATTTTCTTACATAATTTTGTCCCTGGCACATGCCTCTGCTACAACGCCCTGCTACATGT